TCTCATCCCCAACCCAGAGACCCTGACCCAGAGCTTCACTCAAATTCCAGCCTTAACACTGACGCTGGCCTGTGTCCTCAGCAGGAACATTTTATGCTGGGATTTGACAGCCCTTGATTATGTTCAGGGCGCTGTCTTCACTCCCGCTGCAGATCCCATGGAAAGAAACAGCCTCAGGGGTGGGAATCAGAATCCCAGGACTTAACTCTGAAATCCTCTTCTGAGAGGAAAAAAAAAAAAAGTGGGCTTGGAGATTTATTACCTTGCTCTGCTCCTCTATTTTCATTTCTGTAAAATGGGAATTTTAAGCAACTGGTTTCAAAAATATGCGAGGCCCCTTCTGAGTGTTTTGCAAGGATTAATTCATGCAGTGTTCACAACGAAGTGGTTGCCATTATCATTCCCATTTTATAGAGGTACAGTGAAGCTAAGCAAGTGGCCCAAGTTCACGCAGTTGCCGGGGTCTTGGCTGTGGGCACCAGAAGCTTGGGATTTTTGTTGTTTTGTTTTGTTTTTTGGTGCTGGGAATTGAGCACAGAGGTGTTCTATCATTGAGCTACATCCTCAGCCCTTTGATGGAGACTATATCTTCATATATATATTAGTTATAGGTGAACACAATACCTTTATTTTATTTTTATGTGGTACTGAGGATCGAAGCCAGTGCCTCATGCATGCTAGGCGAGCACTCTGCCACTGAGCCACAACCCCAGCCCTGGACATGATATCTTTATTATTTATTCTTTTTTTATGTGGTGCTGAGGTTTGAACCCAGTGCCTCACACTTGCAAGGCTCTACCATTGAGATACAGCCCCAACCACCTTTTGATTTTTCTATTCTGAAACAGGGTCTCACCAAATTCCTGAAGCTGGCCTTGAATTTGGCGATCCTCCTGGTCTCAGCCTCCAAGTCACTGGGATTACAGGAGTGTGCTCCCGCAGAAGCTTGGCTCTTAATTCCCAGACCGGATCCCTCCTGTATGAGGGTGCCTCGCATTTGGGAAGCCTTTGTTCTCCCCACTGGGATTTCAGCTCTTGGGGCTGGGACCTCTTCTGACGCATGGAGGTATTTAATGAACATTGTGAACGGAAGGGATGAATGGATATCTTAGGAGAGCCATGGCCCATCTGACTGCCTGAAAGACCTTAAAGGACTGTGCTTCGGGAACTGTATTCGAGGTCAGGGTTTCTAGTCCCAGTAAACAGGATCCTTGAACGAAGCGGGACCATTTATTTAGTCGAGGATGGCGCAAAACCCACTCCGGGCGGGGCACGGGCGACCCTGGCGGCAGCGCTCTGCTAAGTCCGCAAGAGACAGAAACGTTGACTGGGGGCGGGGCGAGTGGAATTGGTGACCCACTGGCAGGTGATGGCGGGTGCGATAATGTACAGTTGTCAGAAAACCGATGTGGGACGCTGAGTACCATTGCCAGTGGCTTCCAAACTTATCTGACCATGATGCCCAGTAAGACATCATTTCACATGAATGCAGTTTCCCAAAATACCACCATGATGCTTCTCATTCTATTCTGCTCCTATTTTTAAACATTGTTCTGAATCCTTTGATTCCCAGGCTCTGTAACAGATGCCCACCTACGCCTTTTTTTGTTTTCAGCTCACAAATATTGTGATGGAGGAAGTGTTAGCATCCAGGTGTTCTCTCTCTACACTGCTGCATCTTAGACTCGGCATTGCCATCTCTGAGCCCAGATAAGGAATCTGGGCTCAGAGAAGTGAAGACACTTGTCCAAGGCCACACAGTTCAAATATGACAGTGCCAGTACCCCCACCCCCACCCCACAACTGCACCCTAGGAGAAAAATCACTAATTGCTCCTAATTTCATTGTTATCAAGGAGAAGTTTAATACAATCCTTTATCTATTATTCCAATAAGATTGACCTGAATTGACCCGCTGTTTTCTTATACTATTTTGTTTTGTTTTGTTTTAGACAGAGTCTCAATATATTGCCCAAGCTGATCTCAAACTCATGGGCTCAAGTGATTCTCCCACTTCTGTCTACCAAGTAGGTGGGACTTCAGGCTTGCACCATTCTCCCCTTCTCTTACACTGTTTAGTGGAAACTAATGATGTTCTTGAGCCTGGGCTTAAAAATGCCAATCTTCATATGTACAAAATAATCTGAGATGGAGATTAGGAGTCTGTGTTGAGGGATGGGGATGAGACTTGGTAGTAGATCCCTTGCCTGAGATGCATGAGACTGAGTTTGGTTCCCAACACCAGAAAAAAGAAAGAAAAGTCTGGTTGATGGTGTGGTAGTCTATTCTAGATTGTGCAAACAAACCATTTCACTTAAATTTATATAAAGCATCAGGAAAACATCTGCACAGAAAGGACAAGGACTTGTGAACAATGGGCAAGGTCTTCCTGGGTCCAAGTCCACAGGAGAGGGGGAACCTGAGAGGTAAGCATGAAGACGCTTTGTCCTGAGGGCCTTGGCTGCAAACTTGAATTCAGGCCTTGACATTTGTGTTTGCTTCTGCCAATCAGGGATGCTTCAAACCAAATTCAAGCCAGGAGGGTCACAGCTTCCATCTGAGAAGCCAAGGTGGAAATCCACAGGAAGGTTGATCAATGGTTATGGCATCTCATGAAGTTATTTTTTCTTCTTTTTATTTTTTTTTTAAACTTGCTCTGCTCAGCACCAAAAAGTGAAGGATAAAGAAGAAAAAGCCCCCCAAAATGATGATCACCATTTTAAACTGCAATGGTGTATCAGTTTCCTAGGGCTGCCATAAGAAGCTACCACACTTGGTTGCTTAAAGAAACAGTAATCTATTCTTTCAGTTCTGGAGACTGGAAGTGTGAAATCGAGGAGATGGCACAGGCCTTTCCTCTAAGGCTCTAGGGCAGAGTCCTTTCTTTCCTTTATCAACTTCTGGTGGCTCCAGAAGTTCTTTGGCTTGTGACACGGCTCCAAATTTGGCTTAGCCTTCACATGGCTCTCTCCTGTCTCTCTTCCATGTTCCTTAGAGGACATCTGTCATTGAATTTAGAGACCGAATCTGTCTTTTTCCAAATAAAGTCAGGTTCACAGGTTCTGGGGGTTAGGGTGCTGCATATCTTTTGGAGGGCCACCATTCAACCTACTGAAGACCTCAGACTGAACAAGCAATTCCCAAAGGAACTGAAAGTGGGGTCTGGAGAAATTTGCACACCCACATACAATAGAATATCAGTTAGCCTTAGGAAGGAAGGAAATTCTGGCACATGTTACAATATGTAACATATGTTATGCTAAGCAAAAGAAGCCAATCACAAAGGGAGAGAGGTCAGGTTCTACTTACCTGAGGTATTTAGAGCAGTCTAATTCAGAGACAGAAAGTGGGAGGCTGGTCATCTGGGGCAGAAGGAAGGGAAACGGGTAGTTATTGCTTAATGGGTACAGAGTTTCAATTTTGCCAGATGAAAAAGAGCTCTGGAGATTGGTCATGCAAAAATGTGAATAATAATATGAATCGTACTTAACAATATTGAACCATACACTTAAAAATGGTTAAGAGGATCAATTTTATATGTATTTTACCACACGTAAAATTTTAAATACCATAAAAGGAAATATTTTTACCATCCCAGAACTAACTGTACACTGTGGTCTGGCCAATTCCTCCGCCACTGAACTGTGAGCTCCATGACAGGAACCACATCTGTACAGTTCACTCCTCTAGGCTGTGTCTACACCATGCCTGGCACGTAGAGAGGGTGCCCAATAAGTACACACTGGATTTTCCTTTTCTTAGCTAGTATTCCCACATCTGCTCAGTTAGGGTGCCCAAGTCAAAATCTTTGGCCCATTAATGAGTCGTCTTATGGGTAAAACACATTGTTACCCACATTCAACATCCATTCCCTACCCTCTCCAATTTACCTGCAGTAGAGACACTAGATACATACATGCATTCTCAGCCTCCCTTGTAGCTAGGATATCCAAGTGCCATAACTCTAAATAATAAGATGAGAGGCAGAAGCTGCTAGAATCCCCTAGGAAAGATTTGACTTCCTGCCTTGAATTCATGTACAATGCCTGCAGTTGTGGCCTCTAGGTTTTGACCAAAGGCCAAGAAAATCAGAGACCTGAGCCTCTGAGCAGTGCCAGCAGCTCCCCACTGCAGACTTGAGAAAAAAAAATTAACTTCTGTTCTATGCAACCCATGGTCAGAACTGTCACTTGCAGCCAAAAGCATTTGGAACTGATACAATTGGCCAAGTGACTTGATGTAATGGTCTCCCCAACAGGATGAATGAAAAATATGACTTGTTCACCACTGTGTGCCCACCTGTGCTCTCCTTGGCAGATGGAACTGCACAGATGGACTGAGTGATTGTCTCTTCATCCAAAAGTTAACTAACCATACCTTCCTCTTGGGTTCACTGATAATGCACATTAAGTACCTAAAACAGTGCTCGGCACATAGTAAGCCTTCAACAAATACAGGGGAATGTCTCCACCAAGATCTGTAGTAATCTCAAACCCAGGCACAGGGGCCACACAGGAAGCTGGATCCACAGTGACTCATTCCTGGCAATACACCTCGTGATCCTCCAGAAGGTGAAAGATGGGTGGGTGGGCAGTCAGCCAGAGGTCACCCCTGACTCACTGCAGTGGCCCAGTTTTCTGTTGTTCTTTCTTTTCTTTTCTTTTTTTTTTTTTTTTGGTGCTGGGGATTGAACTCAGGGCCTTGGCATGCAAGGCAAGCACTCTACCAACTGAGCTACATCCCCAGCCCTTTGTGTTGTTATTTTTTGACATGCATGACAAAGGTCATGGGGGCCTGGCACCTGTGGCTAGCTTTTCTTCTGCTGTTAATGTTAACAATTAAATGGTCTGAATCTAAAAGTGGCTCTTTTATTTTTACCAATTGAGTTTGTCACTTTTCTGCCAAGTGTATGCACATGACAACGAACAAAGTCTGTAATCTTTATTACTGTCTGTGCTGAGAGTCCCACTCCCCGACTTCTCCAAAGACGAAACACACAGGTCAGAGAAAACTCCACTTTTATTTCTGCTCACAATCTCCCAAAGGATCACACCCCCTCACCTAGATGCAGCCCCTCCCCACAAACCTTCACAAAACACTGATTTTTCTCCCAGAGCTAAATGATCCCCCAGTCACTAACTATAGCCATCCCCCTTCCTCCCCATTGGCCTGCAGATCTGCCTGCTCTGTGTATGTGGCTCCCTCCAGGAAACGATTCCCAAGGACACTTGGCTTGCTTTTTCACCTATATTACATGGGTCCCCTTCCCCGCCCCCCACTTGGGTTTTATTTGCACAGTCTCCCTGCATGTCTTCCTGGCCTCACAAGCCTGCTCTGTCTTGTAGTCAGTCCACCCCACCAAGGGCACCTGCAAGAAGCCACTAATTCGAAATTTGAGAGAGCAGGGCTCCTGGCTCCCACTGCTCTGAGCTCCCTGTGGGCTCTGGCTCCTCACTGTAGTGGAGGGTGTCAGTGTTGACTAAGGCTAAACATTCCCATGAGGGGCACAAAATCCAGAATAGGCAAGAGGAGACAAGGACAAAAGCAGGTGTGGGGGGGGGCAGAATAAGGATAGAGGCCAAGGGATGCAGGAGGACCCCTCCTCCCACCTCAGCCCCAGGACAAAAATGGACCTGAGCTGATGAGCAGCCCCTAGAACCCAAAGGCCTAGCCCCTAGCTGCTGCGGATCCTCTGGCTGCGGGCCTTATACACCTCGATGAGCAAGTCCTTGACGTACTGGATTTCCCGCTCCACCGACTCAGCCCTCTCCCTCAGCTCCCGGTTCCTCGCCTCCAGCCCCTGGCACTCGCCTTCCAGGGCCTCGCCCTCTGCCCGCTTCCTCTGGCGGTACCTCAGAGCTGCTGACTTGTTCTGGTCTCTCTTCTTCTGCTTGCGGTCCCCTCGGGCGGTAGCAGGATTTGGATAGGGAGTTGGGCGAGAGGACTGAGGAGGAGGAGGAAGAGGAGGAGGAGGAGGAGGAGGAGGCTGCTGCTGCTGCTGAGGTGGGGCCAGGGGCACCAAGCCCACATCCTCCTGTCCAACCTCGCTGCGGCAGTAGATGGCCAGCAGGTCGAGGGTATCCAGGGCAGGGGGCTGGGGGAGGTCAAAAGTGGGGAAGGGGAGGGGGAGGGAGGGTGGGGGTGGGGGTGGGGGTGGTGGTGAAGGTGGAGGGAGGAGTGGGCCCTCAAGGAAGAAGTCTTCCATCTGCTCCAGCTCCTTCTTGAGCAGGGAAGCCATGGCTTCCAGGTCAGGGGGAGGTGGGGAAGGTGGGGGCAGGGCACCTGGGGGCAAGGGAGCCTCCAGGGGGAGGAGGGCTGTAAAATCAACTCGCTCAGTCATCCAGTCAGAGAAGCCGTCACCTAGGGAGTGGAGGGGGGACATAAAGTGCCCTGAGTTCCTGGGTCCTCCACCCAATCAAGTGATCACTTATATGTCTTGTCTCAGGCTCATTTGTCTTATTCAATCAGTCAACCAACTAATAAGTCATCAAACCAGTCGACAAGCCACACAGTAAAGGAACAAATGAACCAGTCAACCAAATAACCAATCAGTCATCCAACCAACCATTCAAGGAATCAACTAACCAATCAACCCATTAACTAATTTTAGTTGACTAAACCAATAAATCAACCAAAGAATAAAAGAGTTAACCAAATAATGACCCCATTGTTAATAAAACAGTCAACCAACCATTTTTTCAATCATCTGGTACACTCTTTCCTGAGGGCCTATATCTGTAGTTTCTCCAATTTATTCTCTATTCTTAAAAGGCAAGCAAGATCACATCACACCCAAACACACACACCATTTCAGTTTTCTTCATTTCTCCTTTTTTTTGAGACTGGGTCTAGTTCAGGCTAGCCTTGAACTTCTGGGCTCCACAATCTTCCTGCCTCAGCCTCCCAAGCAGCTAGGAACACAAGCACATGCTACCATATCTGACTATTTATTAATTATTGAAAACCCACTATGTGCCAAGCATTTGGGATATAGTAATGGATATGTTAATTTCTGCATCAGGATCCCTGCATATGTTCTTCTCTCCCCTAAAATGTTCTTTCTTTGGTCTTTTCATGCTTACTTCTTCTCATCCTTTAGGCCTCCGTCTGTACATGACCTACTTGGTGGTTTCCTGGCTACCTGAACTCTGAACCAGGAGGCTGCTGAGGTGGGGCGAGGGGCATCAAGCACACATCCCCCTGCTCGACCTCCCTGCAGCAGGAGATGGCTAGCAGGTCAAGGGAATCCAGGACAGAGGACTGGGGGAAGTCAAAAGTGGGGAAGGGGAGGAGGAGGGAACACGCTTGTGGGGGGGGGAAGGTGGGGGGAGGAGTGGGGCCTCATTTTTAAGTGACTGCTGTGTTTTCCACTTCTCCCAATACATAATCTTTTGTCTCTTGCCTGTTTCCCCACTACACTGTGAGCTCCAAGAGGACAGGGATCATGTTACTTTTGCTCCCTGCTTTATCTATGGCACCTAAACAGTGCCTGGCACATTGTGGGCCCTCAATAAATACTCATCAAATGAACAAGTAAAGGAATGATGAATTCTTCCTTTCCCCCACCCCCAAGCCCCTAGCACACCCCATTCCAATCTCCACCTGCCCTTACCTGCCAGAGGCTCTCCTCCCCCTGGAAGCCCACCCTCCAGGGCTCCCCCAAGGACCTCATAGGGGCCCAGGGGGGCAGGGGCCAGGGGGAGTTTCCCATAGTCTACCAGCCAGCCCAGTCCGCTAGCTGGGACCAGGGCCCTGTCTAGCTCCAGCCCCAGGGTCGCCAGGAGTGACATGACTGTGGCACAGGCGCTGGGCACCGAAGGCAGAAGAGGTTACACCAACAGCTGGGAGGAGGCTCTGTGGGCTGCTCAGCTGGGCAAAGACAGGCACCAAGGCAAAAGTGGAGTACCTGCACATGAGACAAGAGGGTATCATGTCACAGTGAAAGGAAAACCAAGCCACACCCCATGCCAATGGGGCTCCTCCCTCCCCCTTCCAAGGGAGGTTTGGAACCAAGTCTTGTCCCTTCTGAATTCTAAATCTGCCCTTTCTTTCCCCAAATTTCTGACTCCCACCCATTCCCAAGGGAATTCTTTTCTTTTGATTCCCCAAGGTCCACCTCTTCCCCCAATACAGAACCCTAATGGTTTCTCAAGGGAATTACCTTGAGCCCCTCCCACCCACTTCATAATATTCTTCATAAAAAAATTCAATCCCAGGGGAATTTTCTTCCAGCCATGCTCTTTCCTCTAAAATACTTCCATTAGGCCCAATTCCCTTCCTAGATTCCATCCCAAATCAGTTCCCAGGGGAATTCTCCATGCCCTGTCCCTTCATCAAGGTCATCCACTCCAATTCCACTTTTCTCTTTCAACTTTAAGGCGACTTCGGCTGTCCCCACAAGCCCCCCCCCCTCCTCACAAGGACTTCCCCTAAGAGCCTCTTCGCTAAAGCTGTGGACTTGAGCTCCATCCCCTTAATGACAGGTGGCTCCTACGCCCCGCCCTCTGTACTGTCAATCTAGGCTACTCCGTGCCCCAGCAGATGTCTGCTTGAAATAAGGGAGTAAAACTGTGAGCCAGAAGAGCCACGTGGAGACCGGGAGACTGAAAGGGAGGGGCCGAGAACAGCAGCCCAACCCCCACCCCTCGTGCGGTTCTCTCGCCGAGCGTTAAAGCGCATGCTCCGTTCATAGAGTCGTTCATTGTTCTAGCAGGCCTCAGCCTTCCTGGGGATCAGTGCGCATGTGCAACCGTTTATAGCCCACCCCTCATAGTACAGGGTTCTGGTGGGCTCATGCGCAGGAGCACCGCGCGTGGACGAAATCGTTCAGAGGAAAAAACAACTACCCCTTCTGGAGGCTGGTGCGCAGGCGCAATCGCACGCGGGCCGACCTTAAACAGCAACTCACTGAAAGAACTCACCCTCCCCCCACCACTCGGGCCAAGTGCGCATGCTCAGCCGCGCGCCGACGGCCGCCGTCCCTCTTCTGCGCCTGCGCGACCGTGATTCCCTGCCGGCGTCTCCCCACCCTAAGGCCCTGTTGGAGTGCCGCGAGCTGCTAAAGGGCGGGAAAGGCAGTTGAAGAGAGGCGCGAGCGGCTACTCACTCCATGGCTGTGGAAAGAAGAGGCGGCGGCTGCCTCGATTGAAGAAAGACGGTGGAAGCGGAGAGCGTTGGCGCGGTAAGCGCGGAGAGGAGCCGGGGGCACTAATGGGTCGCGGCTACAGAGCCATGGCCGAGGCTACGCGGGCGGAGGCGGCGTCTCGGTAGCGTGAGGAGAGGCTGTGATCAGAGGACGGGGAATGAGGCAACCTCGGGGACTGGGGACAGATATACAGGGGGCGGCGCAGCACGGCCCGCTCGGATCCTTCCGCGCCCCGCCTCCGCGCGGCCCCAACGGGAGGCGATCCGGCCTCCTCTCCTGGATTCACGAATCTGAACCCCAACCCCCAACGACCTGTGGGGTTCTCGGGTCTACCCCCTTTGACCTGGGGGCCGTCCCCCTCCTTATAACTCTGAAGTTGCCACCTTCCCGTTGATTCTAGGGTCGAGTTCCTTGCTTGACTCCGAGGTCCTGGCCCTCTTTCCTCTTTATGATTTTGGAGATCTGGCCCCATTCTCTTACCTCAAACTCGCAACAGTTCATTTCTATAAAACGAGGATAAAAATCAACTCTACTTGGCGGACTTCTTTGTGGAAATCAGACTAGGTGATGTCAGCGAAGCCCTAAGGAGAGCTTGGCTCCTCCGTTCCTGTTTAAGGTATTTTATTATTAATAACAACTCTAGGATCCAGTCTCATTCTAGGGCCCTCCTTTGCCCCCAGACAGTTGAACATCCAACACCATCCTGAAGATAGTCATTCTCACATCTCTAGTGACATTGGAACAGAGTGGCGTGACCAATGCTCAGCCCGTTCCTCCACAGAGTTTCAGGTCCCAGTGTTCTTTTCTCCACTCCTGATCACCTTTTAAAGAGGGACCATGGTAACCATCCTTCATGTTTCTCCCCATGCCTTGGCCCTCCACCAGCCTGGGTGGGTGTGAGTCTTTCTTCTGTTGCAGAAACCCCTTCCTTTCCCATCCTGCATCCAGCTACATTAGAACATTGCACATAGGGTTTAGCTTTTTTCCGTGGCAGTTAAGAAACTGACTTCAGGATACAAAGAAGGTAGGGGAACCAGTGGTAGTGGTGCACACCTATGATCCCAGCCATTCTGGGGGCTAAGGCAGGAGTATTGCAAGTTCAAGGCCAGCCTTAACAACTTAGGGAGACGTTGTCTCAAAGAACTGGGGATGTAGCTTAACAGTAAAGCGCCCAAAGTTCATGCCCCAATACTGAAGGTGGTGGGCAGGACTCTGATCTGATCTTTATCGCTACAGGCAGATTACTTCACCCTCCACACCCTTTTTCCTAGTTGCATGCAGGATGTCCTTGGAATCTGATCACCTTCCTTTAGAGCACTTTTTGAGTTCTATATTTTCTTGGGCCTGTAGGGGCTATATTATAACATAGGCGGTATAGTGTAGAAATTAAGATGATTCTGGAGCCAGGTTTTTTGTGTTTAAACCGTGCACCACATTTGCTAGCTGTTATGACCATGACAGTTTTCTTTCACTATGGCTGTTTTCTCTGTAGTTAAAAAGTGATAGTTATAGTACCCTTTAGGCTGTTATGAGGATGAAGTGAGTGATTTAGTCCACATTAAGCCTTTATAGACTAGTGCCTAGCATATAGTAGGTGCTGCATAGGGGTTGTTATTATTATCATTGAGGTGGATATGTTCTGTCTTTGCTGCTAACTAGTGTTTTAAAACTGATTGCTGGGCATGGTGGCACATGCCTATAATTCCAGCCTACTCAGGGTGCTGAAGCAGGAGGATTGCAAATTTGAGGCCAGCCTCAGCAACTACATTCCCAGCCCATAGGTCTTGTTTAGAAAAGTTACAAAGATATTTCTTCATGCCCTCACCCAGTTTTCCCCCTTGTTAACATTCTGTATTATTACTAGGACACATTTGTCTCAAACATTAATTAGTGCATTACCTTTGACTAAATGCCACTCTGTTCCAGTTTCACTAGTGGTTCCCTAATGCCTTTGTTTTCTGTTAACTGGGAAAACCAAGTGCAAAAATATAAAGTAAACAAAAATTAAAAAATTAAAACAAAAAAACAAGTGTAATCGTGCTTGTTGGTGATCCCAGCTACTCTGGAAGCTGAGGTAGGAGGATTGCAAATTCAAGGCCAACCTCACCAATTTAGTGAGAGCGAGCCTCGAAATAAAATAGGCCTGGGAGGTTGTTCAGTGGTAGAGTGCTCCTGGGTTCAGTCTCCAGTACAGTACAAACAACCCCCCCCCAAAAAAAAAAAATTAGAAATGCCCTTTCTCAGTAGGAGAATCTTGTTTCTGGCTATATGTGGCGCATACTAACTGAGAAGGTAATGGTGCCAGGACTCTGGCCCCTCTGTTTCATCCTCTTGTGCCCTTTTCTCTCTAGCTAAGAGAAAAGGGCACAAGTTCACCTGTGCCCCTACCTAAGCAGTTTGACTTAGTTTTGCTGAGTGGGTGCCAATTCGCACACTTAGCTATCCAGCCTTTCCTAGCATATTCTAATTTGTGATGGTGAGTTATCAGTGGCTCCCTGCCACCCCAGCTCTTAGAATCCTGATCCCTTACCAATATCTGTTCCTGACCTAGACCCTCTGGACTCAGATGCCTTGACCTCTCCCAGCCTCACAAAGTCCTCTAGGGTCCAGGTGCCCAGCTCTTCAGCTCTGGTAGGAGTTTGGAGCAAGGGTGGGGCTGCTGGGGACTCTTTTTCAGTGCGGAGGGGCCTAGCTTGGGGAGTGAGGTGGCAGTTGCAGTCAGGTTGCATCAGCCCTGGCTCCTTGAAGGGGAGGGGGAGTAAAGGAATTCTCTGGGGACCTCCGAGCACCTGGCAGTGGCTCCTAGGTAGCAGAACTCTGGATAAAGGCAAGGATCCAGCACAGCAAGGGAGCAGGGGTGCAAAGGGGGAGGGAGACTAGCCATCTGCAGGACCCTGATAACCTGAGACTTGATGCCAAAAAAGGGCCTCACATCACAGAAGCCCCCAAATTGGCTTTCAGGAGACAAGACTGAGGCCTCAAGAGATAAAGTGGGTTGTGCAGAATCAATTACTCCTTAAATAGAGCCCAGGTATCATGGTGCTGCACAGCTTCCAGGACCCCATGAGACCTTTAAGCCTGGACCTTCAACTCAGATTTGCTGCTGCTCACAATTGCCAAATTCTATTGATCTCCACTTGCCCCTTGCCATCCTGTCTGCCCTCGAGAAGGCCCTCTTCACCTGCCCTATTGCAGCAATCTCTCGCTGGTTTCCTAATCTGGGTAGCTTAGCCTGATAGAAAACACTCTTGAATTTTGTGTCTGATGGATTAATGTTCTGGTCCTGAACTCACAACATTTAGTTCTAATTAGGGTTAGAAGCAAAGGTCTACTGTGCCTAAGCCTCAGCTGCCTTCTGCAGAGTGGGTCAGAGCAAGCCTGCTAGATTCACATCCTAGCTCTGCTCCTCTTTGACCCTTGGTAAGTGTCATTATCTCTGATTATTTCCTCACTCATAAAATGGGGCTAAGAAGAACCACCTCATAGGGTAGTGATGTACATTAATATATGTAAAATGCCTAAAACAGCTGGGTATGTGGGAGGTACCCTCTGAGCATTAGATCTTTTTGTATAAGATGCCAGGTGCTGGAGGATTAAGGACATGACACAGGTAAAGCCTAGTTCTTACTGTGAACTCAGGGTCTATACATGCTTCTTTCTCTTCCCATTCCCTTTACACTTTGTACTGCTTTCGGAGCCATCTCAGAGACAGATGTTAGTGTACATGATTGATGCCCCAAACGCTTACAGTGTGTCACTAACTTCCTCTTTGCTAGAATTGTTCGCCACAATTCCTAACCCTGTGCAATCACCTCCATGAGTGTAAATACATTTCTAATGAGTTGCACTTGCACAAAGGCTGAAGAATTTGCTCTCCTGGTCACTGATCAATGCCAGGAAAGGTAACTGGGTCACACAGGCCATGGGGGCAGGGGTTGGAGGTGGGTATCCTGACAAACAAGGGCAGGAAGGCCAAGGCCTGCTTAGCTGGGGAAAGAACAGTGCAGGGGGCTGGGCAGGCAGAACACAGGCTGCCGCGTGGCCCAGTGGCTCAGAGTCCTCCAGAGCCCCTCCCCTGCCCTCAGATTACCTCAGCCCCTCTTCAGAAATAAGTCACGGCTCTCAGAGACTGGTTAGGCCCATGTTCCTGACCAGCTTTGGCATCTTGAATGTTACCAACTATATTAGTTTCTTCTTATTGCTGTGATAGGTTGCCACAAATTCAGTGGCTCAGAACAACACACCTTTACTGCCTGATGATGCAAGAGGACAGAACTCTGTTCTCTCTGGAGGCTCTAAGAGAAAATCTGTGTCCTAGTCCTTATTAGTTTCTAGAGGCTGCCTCATTCTTTGGCTTTTGGCTTCTTCCTCACATCACTCTAGCTTCTTTTATTGTCATACCTCTTCATTTTCCTGCTCTCCCTCTAATGAAGACTCTATGATTGCATTTAGAGCCTGCCTAGATAATTCAGGATGATCTCTGCATCGAAGATTCTTAATTTAATCATGTCTTCACAGAGTCAATAAGGTAATTGGGGCTAGGACATAGACAACTTAGGGCAGCTGTTATTCAGCCTACATATCCTTCCTCTCATAGTCTGTTTCCTTATCTGGCAGGTAAAGAATGGGCCAGGCCTGGGTGCATCCTCCCTTGCATCTCCACAGGGACTGGAAATGGGAAAAGAACAGGGCAGACTGACAGTTGACAGCCTAATGTTCTGGAGCCCAGAATGCCATCACTAATTGTGTGGCTCCACCCCTCTGTGCCATGGTTACCTGATCCGGAAAATGAGGACAATGGCAGAACTCCCTCAGAGGACAGTGATCAGGATCAGAGTTAACACATGGGAAGGTCTAGACCAATGTCTGACTCAGCAAGTATGAGCTGCCCCAAGACAGGGCTTTCACAGACCCAGAAAGAGTGGTGGGCCCCCAAAGCACAGGGACCACCTGGAAGGCACAGATACTACTTGGGGACAACCTTTTATACTAGGCAGCAACACCAGACTAACAGTACAGATTTTACAAGAGGGGTTGGAAATCAAGATTTTTTTTTTTTTTAATCTAGCATTAACAAGTACTTAAGAAAAAAACTCCAGCTGACAAATCATGAGTGTGTCTAGGGCTCAGGTTGTGGGCCGTTGTAACCTTCATGTTCAGTGATTTCCCTTTCCCAAT